ACAATTCCAGTTCATCACTACCTCCTGCTCCAGGCGGTAATTCAAGACCACTCCCTCCTCCACCGGGTAAAGCTCCAGGCTTTGCTCCTCCGCCACCACCCCCATCTATGAAGCCATCATCATCTGACAACTCTAGGCCTCTTCCACCACCTCCATCAGGAACTGGCTCAAGACCTTTACCAGCGCCACCACCAGGGGGTGGACAAAGACCACCAGCTCCACTACCAGGGGGTGGACAAAGACCGTCAGCACCAATGAGGCAAGGTCCTCCACCTCCACCCCCTGGACGAGGAGGGGGGCCTCCGCCACCACCACCATCTTCAACTCCAAGAACAACTGCACCTCCACCTCCACCGCCTATGAGAAGTAATCCAAATGTGGCTTCTTCACAACCTCCTACCCCAAGAGGAGGTCCACCACCACCTCCTCCGTCAAGGGGTGGCCCACCACCTCCACCTCCAAGTAGGGCACCTCCACCACCATCATCAAGGCCACCATCACAAGCGCCTCCACCACCACCTCCCAATAAAATTCCCCAGAAGGGGAGTTCTGGACTACCGCCAAGTCGAGGATCAGCTCCTTTGCCTCCCTCTCCAGTAGGAGGGCTAGGACCGCCTCCTCCACCTCCGTCTAGAGGTACAATGGAGACTAAGAGATCAGGGCTTCCGCCTCCACCACCACCTGCATCATCCAGTAGATCAAATAACATGATGAACGGACCAACTAGAAATTCACTTCCACCTCCTCCCCCAGAGGCAATGACAAGCGTATTTGAAGGTAACATAATTAATGATGCTTCGCTTTCAGTTACTGGGATAAAGGCATCATCCTGGGAGAATATCGGCCTGTGGTCTTTATTGTGTAGACCTCACTGCACTAGGTCCATACTCTCAAGACCTCAGGCCAATATTCCAGATGATGGCTCTGGCACTTGACTGATAAGATAATATTTATATGAACTACATAACATTCAAGAAATGAGATAGTGAAGGGGGTTGTTGTGGGGGGCTCCTGCCAAAGAAGAAATGGGTTGAGCACAGGAAGCTCTTCTGCTATCAGGACTGTCATTAAGGGCCGTAACCTGTAACACCCGTTACGGCTGAGTATTCTTGACGAGCCCTTGATGTTACAGGTGAACTTGCCTGTTCTTGGCACAATTCATCCCCAAAGTAACAAGTTTGTTACAGGTGTGAGGACCAAGGCAATATGTGACTCAAAACTTAATGACAGCCGAGGCTATCTATTTGACTTTCAATTTTTGATTACGTTCCTTTTCTGTTTACAGAGGACTTTGAAGCAAGATTTTCATTTAGTTCAGATCTACCTCCACCAGAGCCTTATGTAGAAACAGCAAAAACATATCCAAGTAAAAATCCAAAGAAGAGTGGTAAGTTTTATGAAAGTTGCACGAAAAAGATCAGAAGTAATCCTTGTCAAGAAATGGTCATGGTGTACTAGAAATAACTAAGTGCAGTCTTACAGTGTTCACATGTAAACCAAAGCAAGACCCCAAAATATTTAAGTGGACGAAGTCTCTGCCTCTACTGAAAGTAGCCCACCAAGCTGAAACTTAATGTATCTCCCATTTCCTGTGGTGCAAGGTGTCTATGAGTATTGCTATGCCCTAGTTTATTGCAAGTTAACTCCCAGCATTGTGTCAGGTTGTCCATCCAATTTGCCATTACTCATTAATAGTACGCTGGACAAAACTGTTCTGGATCGAGGGTTTACGACAAATACTTTGAACAAGCAAAGCGATCCAAATGATTTTGTGATTCATGTCTTAAACCTTATTAAATTCCACATATGAAAGCTATTTTCCTGTAGAGCATGCAAAGAAGACTTGTGTTAAAGTGTGTCCAGGAAAAAAAAAGTGTTTTGAAGCGTGGTTCAAGTGCCATCTTTATTTTCAGGTGGTGCAAAGTCTTCTGGAAATCCTCCAAGTGGGGTGAGAGCTAACCCACCTCCACCTCCTCCATCAAGAGGCGCTCCACCTCCACCACCACCTCCTCCAAGGAGATAAGGCATGAGGCATTTGTCAAAGTTTCATAGCAATTCTAGGAGGACCAATTTTTTATGATAATAATTATTAATAACATTGATCCAGATTTGTGGACAGTATTTGGTGGTCTTTATACTAAAGACTTGTTTCATAGTCGTCACTTCTTAAACCTTATGGCTTGGCAAGGTTGGACAGGTTTATCGACATTTTTCAACAGTTATTGACAATCTGTTATCAATAGAGTATGGAATACACATCTATAGACCAATCACACTTGTGAAAATGAAATTAATGTTTTGTATTTTTTCTTTGCTGTATATGAAGAGGGTGTAGCACCTTTTAGTTAGATTTCCTTGTTAGAAGTGGTAGAAACGAGGAAAGTGTTACATGTATTGCAGTATGAAACTTGTGCCATATTAATTTTGTGGTTGAAGCAATAGTGTCGATTATTTCAATAACTAATAATAATTAATAAAACATGCATTTTTGCAGTAGTTAATGACATTTTTTGTTGTCATTATTATTGAATGTTTAATTATCATTTTAGAAATAAAAGACACTGTCTTGGAGAAAGAAAAAAACATAACAAAATAAATTTTAATCTTATTATTTCTTTGGAGTAGACATGTATTTCTGTATAATTTATCCTTAATAATAATATTGACAGCACTATATACAGTGGAGTAATGCCTTTTTATTCAGTGTCCCTTCTTTGTAAATAAAATGAAAATTTGATGTGGAAGTTCCTTCTCAAGTGTGGCGAACACAGTTTTTGAGACCTGTGTTTCATTCACCATTTTTTCTGAAACCCTAGATCCTTTGTTCACCAAAAATGGCGACAAGCAAGTGGACAACACAGACTTTGGTTTTTAGATAGTTTGGCCATGGCAAGAGAAATAAATATAAATGGGCCTTTCACAGGGAAACTCATCAGTGGAGAAAAACCACAAATCAACACCCTTGTATTTTGACCAAAAATTCCCCCTTTTTTCCAATGTGGTACACAACATCAAGTGAGCAAGTTTCTGCGTTTTAAAGTGGGCGTTAGCTCTTTCAACAACCCTATCTATCACAGAATAGATAGTGAGTAGCATAGCCAATCAGAGAACAGCATTCGGGATAGAACGCTAGTGGATTTATACTAATACTAATTAAAACTCTCTATACATTCAAATTATCTTTTGACTTCTCATTTGAAACTGAAAATTTCAAAATTTGAGACTTTAAACTGTTATCACACTCATGCCACTCCAACTCAACACAAACCCACTAGCAAGTTTCATGGTGCTACTCCAGACTTTTGAGCTCATTATTCTTGATGGTGTGGCAGAAATAAAAAAAACTCATTCCCATAGTTAAAAATTTGTTAACGCCTAGATGATGCTCTGCTTGAGGTCCTTTGTGACTGGAGATCTCGAATGCTGGCCAACTGTTCCAT